ATGTCAATAACTTGGTATGAAATTGTAGATTATAATTCAAATTTTAGTATTATACATTAGTTAATTTCTTAATTTAAAAGTAAATATTGTAAGAACACACCTAAATATTCATTTTTATGTGTTACATGATATGTTGAATGCAGCATTGGTTCAAATTACATGTGTTTGATGTCCAAATACAAAGTCTGTAGTTTCTTACGAATTAGGAACTCAAATTACTGATATTGACAAGCAAGAATATAAAATAAGAACGACTTATATTTTTTTTTTTTTATTTGCTTTTTTTATACCTATCACCCCATTGCTCCTTCTAAGCATGTACCTAGTTTCTAAAACTCAATTCCTTTCCTGAATAGACTAGAAGGAAGGCAGCTAGTCATCACCAACTCTTGGGCTATGCCAGAGGTCGGCAACCTGCATGCTCTCGGGCTTTACTCTTACTGTGAAGAAAAGTTGAGAATCTTTCAGGCACAATGGAGAATCGAACCCTTGATTTAGCTTTGTAAATTTGAAGATTCACATGGGGACCTTTTTTTTTTTAAGTTAGACCTTTAGGGCATATTGCAACTCTCAAAATGTTTTGGTCTTAGACAAAAACAAAGAAAGGATCTTCTTTCAAGGGTTGTCGATCCCTAGAATATGCTTTGACCAACAAAACGTGGGATTGACAGTGGCATTATAACACCCCTACAGCCAAAAGGGGAGAAGTTTCAAGGACGTGTAATATGGAAGTAAAGATAGAAATGGGTGAAAATCGAGTACACTGATTAAAAAACAAGGAAATAAGCCTATCTTCTGAAAAATGTATTATGATCTATAAGACAGTTTTAAGATGACTCAAGACAACTCCTAAAAAGACTAGGTAAACAAAAATCTGCTATCCTCCCTGTTCCTCCATATCTACTGGTTGTTTCCATGAATAACATCTACAGTTTTAAGCAGAGAAAAATTACTTTTTCCCTTCATGTTTTGCACACAGACTACTGTTACTAATATATTTATGGTAAAAATAAAAAAAAGAGAACAAGCTTACAATTAATATAATACTTTAAGTAATAACTCAAAAAAAGAGAAAAGAAATTGGAAAATTTAACTTGGAAACTTAACAAAATGTACATCACTGTCCCTTGAACATTCTGATATTTAAAGCCAATGTTAATAATTAAATGACCAAGCATCAACATACATGTGCACTGCACACAAAATGTTACACAAGTCAACTTTATTGACACATACTCTAACAGTCTTTGACTGACATACCACCATATTCTACTGGAGGTCCAGACATTTATTAGAAGAAACCCAGTGTCATATTCTTAAAATACTATGATAACTTAAATGTTCGTATCGTTCACAGACCAACATTCGAATACCTAGATTCTCTTATCTGACGTGGTACTGATTAAAAAATTAGCATTTTCAATACATTTTAAAGTGATGTTGAATCCTTTCCTTACTTATCACTTGCAGAATAAGATTGTACTTTCATATAAATTTTAGCAAAATTGTTGACAGTTTTTCTGCCAAAAAACACCTTGAAATTTAATAAGCTATCACAGCTGCTATTAAGAGAATAACAGATCCAACTTGCTTCCTATTTCTATGTACTAGCAGGTACCTTTATAATGCACTTTGAGATTTGTGAAAGTTGCAATATAAAGATTAAATGTACATAAGAAAAATTATTCATGTCCACTAGGCTTGAATATTTAAATAATGGTTTATTTTTTATTTTAGTTTTTTTCTTAATCAAAAAGCAATAAGTAACAAGTGACTTTAAAACATTTCACTTAATATAAGTGTGTCTATCTTGAAGGTCTGTATAAACAATGTATGAAAAAGAAATCCTACACATGATTGATGGGATTTGAAAATGAAATGCAATTGTAGAATTAATGTTTTAACAGTTATGAATATAAAACAGCATTTCTGTTTTTGTTCTAAATATACCAGTAATGGCTGAAAGTACATAGATTGTAGGTATACTCCACATAATGAAAGAGGAAACGAGATCTCATTAGTACTGCCACCCCCACTGACTGATCTATGTATAAATAGCCAGCCCCGGAGTTATGAAAACTATGCATTTTAAAAGATAAATAACTTCTTGAATCATTCCTAGTTGATTAAATCACATTTGATAGGTCCAAATGCAAAAGTTTAGGAGGAGTTAGAGGACAAACACACTTCTCTCAAAGTATAGTAGGCTATTAAATTAATATTCAGAACAAAGAAAAACATACAAAAGGAATTACAGAGATGGAAGCAAAGTATTATTCATTTGAGTCTTTATGGGAAACATCTCAAGAAAGCTGGGATGTTTCCTTGCAGTTTCATGTACTCTGTTGGTGTCACTCGCCCATTACATGAGTAAGTATCATGTACTGAACACTTATGTTGTATAATCTTTCAGTAGGTCTACCCCATGGCTTCAAGTGAAACATTTCACCAGTGAGTACAGTAATTAACAAATATGGTCACCAATAATAATCCAAATGACAAAAAAGATCATGATACAATTATTGAATAGTTATTACTATTGGTACAACTACAAGAAATTCTGATGTCAGAAAAATGTGCACAAAGTACTTCTGAACTCTTTAAATGTTTTGAAGTTTGTGAAACACTTAACTACAAACAAGATATACATATGATTACATTTTCACTGCTCTATAAATATATGTAAAAAAAAATAACTATATTTCAATTCAATCTAACTAAAAACTTGTATGATTTAAGTTTCACTTATATTAATTAAACCAATACAATGATGTTTAAAAGAACATAAAAGGAAACATAAAAATAACTGCTTTGCTATTTCTTTCTACTGGCTATTAATATCTATTAGTAAAGAATTACATTATTTACATTTTTTGATCAAAATAAGTATTTAAAATTCAATATTACGACAGCTTTAAATTACATTGAATACTGTTATGTAAAGAATTATTTAAACAACTTCTGTTGCATTCTCCTCAGTGTTTGGTACTAGTTCAGATTGTTCCATTTTATTAGAATCTTCTGATTCTGTTAGTTCATTCAGCAGGGTAACTTTGGTGGGAACTGTTTCAAGATGATTATCTTCTTCTTTTGGCATGTTTCTCTCATCAGTATCATACTTACTTTTTTGTCTGTGTACAAACTGCCAAATGATAAGGTATGCTAGAAAAGCACAAATAATGCCACCTAACATCACATGCATTAGAAACATGGGGGTGTGCTCAATGTAATGACCCACCAATAGAGGCAAGACTGTTTCACCAAGTGAGGTTGTCACAACAAAAGTGGATGTCACTTTGTTGGTCATTACAATGTATTGTTCACACCATGAGACAATGCTGGGATAAATGGATGCCATACCAACTCCAAGAAGTCCTGAAGCAGCCCAAAGAACTTCTTCTGCTGAGCTTGCAAAGAACACAAGCAGTAAGCTAGCTCCAAAAACAATGAAAATATCGATCATTAACATAACAAAACTACTTAGTTTCATAGAGATAAAGATTGATACTCCCCTTGCAAGAGTATAGATACCCCAATAGAAAGAAGTAATAAAAGAACCCTTGGATTTGGATAGCTTCAGTGGTCCAACAACAGCAAAAGTTGCAATCATCTGTCCATATGTAACCTCTAACCCAGCATAGAAAATCATGAAAATAGCACAAACAGTAAGAATAAAACGTATCACTCGTGATTCCATATTCTGAGAACCATCAGGTTTCTTTGTCTGTTCAGGGACATTCTCTATATTTGTGTACAGAAAAACAATAAAAAACAAAATTAAAACAAAAAAGGTGAATGCTCCAATTACTATAAATGCATATTCAAAGCCAAATACCTGGAATCCATCATGATTTTCAAATTCTGCTGGTGAAAATATACTGTTGTGTAGAAATACATTAGTATCATTCTTTTCTGATAGATTTGCTTGTACCTTCCAAACTATTGATGAATTTGTCATATTCAAAGTTTCTGAACTTTCTTTTTCACGAAAGAGAAAAGGCTCTGCTAGTAAAGGAGCTATGAATGTACCAACACCAAAAGAAAAGTGCAAAGCCTGATAGTAAGGCCCACTTTCTTTACCCCAAAGGTGGAGACACCAGCAATTCCCTCCTGTGGAAAATAAAAAGAATATTTATTTTCTTGATATTTCAACAACTAGCATATCAACACCAATACAGTATTTATAAACCTTTAATCAAATATCTTACTTAAAGCTATAAGATCTTTTTTTTTTTTTTTTGGCTAAAAGCTAACAGCTAAGAAATTTGTTTCTTCATGAAAAAAGAATTCATTATGATTTTGGATAATTAATATTTCTGTATCACAATTGTTGTGTGTGCTAACAAATATCCAAGTATGTTTAAAACCTGAAATCAATCATTCATTACTCACATTATTATATAAAACTGGAGTTAAGCCCAAAGTACCGAAACTCTAAACCGTATAATAGGAAAATTTTAGAAATTATAACCTAGGTTTAAAAAAAAAATACATAATTTTTACAGTTGAACACATCTTGTATAATTAGAAGAAAAAGTATATATAACATTATTTCACTGGAAGTATTATTTAACTACACAAACTGTCTGTACTTCACTAGCAGAAGAACTGACAACATAATTACTGTATATACTTCACTGGTGGGATAACAATACATATATATATATATACTGTACATGTAATGGGTTTGATACTTCACAAGCCAATGTATTAGTATTTAAATCAGGGTTTATTCTTCACTGTTAAAAGAATAAACTATAAATACAAGTGTCTATAAAACAATGAAATAGTTATCTACACATATTGATATTTCACCAGTATTCATAATTCATTATGGAAGAATTACCTAGATATAGACACCATTTTTGTATACTGTCATGTACACATCAATGATGAGTGAAAGAATATACTAAACATACCTGTGTCTATAGCACCCAGGACTAAACCTTCAATGACCATTGTTGCAATAAGCAGAATGAGGTTTCTGCACCATGGGGCAGCTGTTATTGTAATTCCCAGAAATAACAGGTTAACAAGAAACAGCACTTCTCTATTAAACCTGTCAAACAGTATACCTCCTGTAAGCACAAAAAGAGTATATCACTATTCAGTCAAACAATAATCTCCCAACCCAGAGTTCCTGTCATGCACACATACTAAAATAAGTTTAAAACAAAATATGAATGTGTGTCTGTCTGGCAGATGAATATTTTTACATTTCTCATTACTGTAATATGGTACAATTTCTCTCTCATATGTACTGGTGGAATTCTTTGATAATTAAATAAAAACTAGTGTTCTTTACTGTCTTATGTCTAGAGATAAAAAACAAATGATCATAAAGTGTAAAATTTCAGAGCTGTATTTTTCTTTTCTTTAATATGAACTATCCTTAATTTCACAACTTCAGAACAAGCAATTTACGAGGGTAATGTTAATAGTGTTTATTTATATATTTCATATCAACTTTGATAAATACAAACTAATGAACATTACTTTTATAAATCATGCACATGTTCATTCTTCAGTGATATAAATATTTAAAGAAAGACATATTAGGACCATAAAATCACAATTTGTAAAACCTATCTTTGTGTTCATAGTTACTTTAAAGGAAATAGAAAAACAAAACTTTCCCACAAAAGATCCACTTAGGTAGCCAATACCTCGTCCTACAAGGATATAGGAAATATGTTCTGTGTCTGTGTTTAGGGCAAGTTCTAAGTCAAGAAGAGTTGGACCTGTGATAGCAAGAGCCATACCCTAAAAATATGACAAAATTAACACCTATTAAGGTGTATATATATTTTTTTACATTAATGTTTGTATGTGAAAGAAAATAAATCTAAATGAAACTTCATTAAAACCTAAGATACTGTGTCCATAACTATTCAAATATTACATGTCAGAAGAATAACATAATTAAACTTAGAAATATGCATACTGTAAGATGATAATTCTTTTCTTACTTATATCAGTGCTGTACATAATCTGTTTTACTTTAAATTTACTTCACTTTTAACTAGATATTTTATTCTAGCTGTTTTAACACTGCCCAGAAAATTAGATTCATACATAGATGCAACTTGTTTATGTACCTAGATGGATTGGTAAAAAATATGCATAAATTATCAGCACACACTCACCAAGGCCACAAATGCAAAGTAAAGATTTGCAGTTTGAAAATGTTTTATTGTAAACAAATTCATTGTCATTTCTTGCTTCAGTTAAGTTTTCCTTCTTCGATATCCTCTTATGATTGAGCAGTAAGCTTCATTTAGGGATTATAATGGTAAAATTTAGGGTTTAATTCTCCATGGTGGACTCAGAAAAAGCCACTCTTCCATAATCTGTACTCTCTGTAAAAATAAAGTTAATATATTGGACTTATGCATAGCCATTGCTTTAACTGTACTTAAGTGTGATGCAGTTCTATATAATGGTAAGTAAAATTCAGACTGTTGAATACAAAAAACAGATACAGCAAAACTTTTATAAAGGTTGAAATATGTGTTTCACTAGTTTCAAATGCTTCACAACACAAAGGGTATAAGAAATTGAAGTAAACTTATTTAAGTTATACAAGTATTAGAAGGAAACATTTGAAGTTGTTATAAGCAAACCTGTAAATGGCTATAGCAACTAAAAAATATAAATTCATTTATATTTAGCTCTTGTCAAGCCTAATTTCTATAACACTGCTTGTCAATAAGCTAAAAAATATATATAAAAAAATTAAAGTGTTCATAATAAGAGCTAACTTCATCAGTGGTAAAAAGCAATATTTTTGTGTATAAGTTAAAATAAGACAAAACATTCAAAACTGTTGGGATATTTTCAGTAATATTAATGTAAGCTATATTTTTAATATTGTTGCGTCATCGAGATCATGTGACAATTCTCACGCCCTCTTGTTTCTAGAACTATCCCGTATCTT